AGAGCTACAAACAACACAGTTGATATGTGAGACTGAGCCTTCTGAAATATAATTGTCAGAATGGCTAAGGCCACGAAGTGGCTGCAAGCTATTCTAGATTATATGAAGGTGAAGTCGATCATATCAACTATCCACACCCACCCTCCCAATGGAAGAGGAGGAGCTAATCAAAGGCCAAGGAAGATGGCTGAAGCAGGGGCTTATATAGTGGGGCAAGTGGGCGGATGGGCAGACCAAAAGTTATTAAAATTAATTATTTAACTACAAATTAGCTGTAAGTTAAGAAAACTGGCCAAACACAGTTGATATGATCGACTTCACCTTCTTCATATAATCTAGAATAGCTTGCAGCCACTTCGTGGCCTTAGCCATTCTGACAATTATGAGAAATAATATTGAATACTACTCTGTAAACAAAGCATACTCACACAGCACAACTAAATACAATCATGAACATAAAAGCATATATTAATACTTGATGAACCTAGTTTTGATAGCATCAATAACAATAGATAGAGAGCTACTGACATTTCAAGGCAGGAACTGCAAAAAAATTATTATGGAGAGGAGCACATGGAATTCAGGCGTACATACATGTACATGTATATGTTCTTCTAAGCAAACCACTCCTGAGCCAAAAAAATGTTGAAAGCAGGAGGAGGTACAAGAATTAGAAAGACAAGAGCTTCTGATGTTTGGCAAATAGTCTATAAACAGAAAAAACCTAAATGCTACTGATAAAAAAACAGCCAGAACTAACATTCCAGATTTACAATTTCAGCATCATGCTCTTAATGATTAAATATTTTTGGAGCTTTAGTTTTGCTTTTGCACACTAATTAGCAAAAACCACTGAGTTTTGCTCCCTGCAAACAAAGTGCTATACAGCAAGCATTAAAGGAAAGAATGGAGATTCTTAAGTGCATAAGCAAAAAAGTTGTATGCAGATAGTTAGACTAGAGCTTCTTGACCAGTTCCTTCACTACTGAAAAATTAGGGGGCAAGACTACGCTAGTGCATGACAATTTTTATAATAAAGCATTATGTCTTGTAGATTTTCCATATTAAATTAAAGTTCTAATAATAAATATACATACGTGTAAATCCTTTCACAACTTGGGGGCTTCGCCCCCTGGTCGTTCTTGCACCTTATTTCAGCATCACTCTATCTATAAAAAAATTTTAAAAAAACAAGATGGAGTAGGATTCTAGAGCAAATTTGTAAAAAAGTAACAGAAACAAGGACAAGTAGGATTTCGAATGACCAATGAAAATACGAAATGAAAATCCTACTCTCCTGACGCAAATTCTACTCTACATTGTACTTTCAATATTATTATGTAAAAATTTATAGATCACCTTGCAATGTAGAGTAGAATTTGCGTCACGAGAGTAGGATTTTCATTTCATATTTTCATTGGTCGTTCGAAATCCTACTTGTCCTTGTTTCTGTTACTTTTTTACAAATTTGCTCTAGAATCCTAGCTACTCTACCTTGTGTTTTTAAAAATTTTTATGTTCTTGTTTGTGTTGATTTTTTTATAATATTTGTATTATTTCTTTCAGATGGTGTCAATTGCCAATTGTGGTCAATGCTAAAGAAATTCTATACTGATCAGTGTTCAGTGTATGATATAATAATAATCTTGACATAAATCCTTGTTCAAGAAGCTGTGACAGTACCCATCTCTTCCTTGCAATCCCGTCCTATTGACTGTTGTTCCTTATGCAAGTTCATGATCATTGTATAACATGAATTAATTATTGTTTCTGTTTTTTAAAATACGATTTATTGATCACACATTATAAAACAATGAAGACTAAATACCTATTTTTAGCTGGAACTGGAGGCCTGGAACAGTTCGAACCTCCACTAAGTATTGCAGTTGATCCAAACATAGCTAGATAAAAAAATGCTCCCTTTTCCCAGTTCTGAGATCTGAGCATGCACAACCACACCCACATTTTGGAGCACATGCTTCTTTAATTGACAAAATGGCGGAATGAGGAAAGCTGGGCTGATGGTGATAGAGAGGGCAACTTTTTCTTATTGTTAAAGTTATTTGAAAAGTTGTGGACCTGCGCATAAATAGTTGGAGTAGAATGGTGTAAGAATTATCCTTCTAACATTGACCAAAGACCATGACACCCCTGCTTAACTGTTGACAGGAGATGATGATGATGACTAAGATGAAAAAGGTGGCTGAACAAAACGGCCAGTTCGCTGATTTTTGACTTTCCTCTCAATCAAGGTTTAGAGCCATGCTTGTGGTACCAATGGAGTCCTCTGGTCGAGATAAGGTCCTCTAAGAAGTCTGGTACGCATAGGAGCTCGTTTTCCCGGTATAGCAAGGCTGCAAAAGTCGTGGCAGCCATATTGTTTTGGGATGAATCCTACTTATAGTAACACTACCGTGTTACTAATACACATGTTCACGTATTTGTACACTTACATTTCTTTAATACACGAGAAATAGAAAGTGTAAATTAGCAACAACCCACAAACACTGATTACACTTTTTACAAAAAGTGGGTGCAGCCACAGCAAAAAAAATGGCAGCTTGCGAAAGGTAAAAAGCTTTGAGCTCTTTAGGTCCAACATCAATATAACTGCAGAGATTCTGTTTAAACTTTAAAGACATTTGGAAAAGTATTATAAGGTAGAAAGGCAGCCTTAATAAGAGTCCATCAGTTATGCATGCAAGGTTGTAAAAACAATTATAAGAATATTCTTAAACTGCCAATACTTGTTTATTTTATAATTGAACAAAAATGGTTCATGTGTCCCTAACCCCTTCAAACGCACGCCTGGAAAATGCAACAATTACATTTAAAGTCAATTAGAACACTGGTGTCCAATTAATCTAAACAAAGTCCACAACTTTCATACATGCATACAACACAATTCTTTCATAAACTTCCATATACACACTCAAAATTAATTACCTTAAAGCATCAACCAAGTTCATATCAGCAAAGTCATAAAGCACAACAAAATTCCGAAGAACACCAATATAATAATTTTTACTACAAAATAATAGTTATTGTTCAGATTAAGAATACAACTCATACCCTTCACCAAGAAATGTTCCAATCGCACTTTTGTCAAGTAATTCTCCAGTATGTAGAAACATAGCAACATCTTCTGACGTATCATTTACCACATTCTTTTCTATGAGATATTTCATTCCCTATATTTTTAGGTAAAAAACAAAAACGAAACGAAAGACAGGTCATGACTGCAACTACGCAGTGCAAAGTTAAGGCTGTTTACAATACCGTATAGTCGCTTAATTTCAAAGGTACAATTTTTGATGATTTCGCAGATTTCCGCATCCGCTATAGTTAATTCCAAAAAATCATCCGTATCACCCATAAACATGTGTACTTTAAAATAAGAACCACAAAAAAGTTAATTTGTAAAAAAAGACTTGTGGCCAAATTCGTGAAAGTTTATTGCCTCAAAACTTTGTGGCTATATGGTATGATGCTAGGTCAGCTTAGTGTTAATTTTTAATCAAAACTGTGGGTCATTCAACCACTTTCATGCAAGCTACAAAACAAAATCCTATTCCAATATCAACATAACGTCAGGCCTAGCATAATCTTGTTAACGAGCCTTTGGTGTTGATGAAAACACTTTTATTGTAGCCACCGTTGCAACTTTACATTACTGCAGTAGCTAACATGCTAAAGCTTTTTATCTCAGAATTGAGTTCACCTCATGCACTTTCGTGCACCAAGCAACCTAGTGATATGTACATGTATAGGCAATTGGGTGCTCTAGAGAAACAGTCATATTGTACTAGCTCGGCTATAAACAGAAAACTACACTAAAACAGTACCATCTGACTATACATGTACTGTATTACTTCATTAAATTTTTAAGCATTTATTTCTTACAGAAAAAAGAGTAATAATAATCAGAGACACAACCTAAGAATGAAAAGATCCTATTAGTCAAATCACACTTCAAAGGCAGCTGTAATGAGCAATTTTATACTTGCAAATATCAGTAAATTTGAGCAGGGCGCTTATTTTAGCAAATATGGCTGGTTCAATTGAGTTGAAAACATCAATCCCTTATGAAATTTTGCTACAAATGCTATCAGTATCAGTTGAAATTTAGGTTCTTCAAAAAAACTATACAAATTCTAGAGTCTCTTGCTACTTTGCACTTCAGATGAAAGAGACATGCTGTCATGTATTCTGTGCATACATTAATGAATATCCTATGCATATCATTAAAACTACACCACAAGGTGTTAGATGCAATAATGCACCTACTATAGGCCTCACTCTTTGCACATTGTATATGAATGTGTCTTATAGTGTAAATTTAATAAAACTAAGTTATTATAGTACATACATGTATATGTATGCACGTGTATATAGATGTGAATGGAACTTACATCTTTAGGATCACGATTAAACTTTTTTCGGCCAGTCCTAAGACTTCGAGTTAAAGTCGTGTCATCACTACAATATGAATTTAATGAAATATGGAAATGTAACTCAAGTGAATATAGTTGTACATGCTATGCATTTTACTTTCAAACTACTGTATAGCAGAATTTACTGACAAGTAAAAAATTTGATGAAAACAGTAAATTTCCTTCATTGGCAATTTTAAATTTGACGAATAGTACCCTTCGCGTACACGTGGCACAATTAAAGTACAAAATTTTGGACAGTTATAAAATTTGACATTTTATTTTACATTGTTAACTCGTCAAAACAAAACCTTCGTCAATAAAACCCACTATACGGTACAACATAATCTAATGGAATTTTATATGACAATTACACAAGTGTATTCAGATATTGCAAAACACAAACAAGCAATACAATAGCAGTAATCAGAGGTTTAGACAAAAAACTTAGCAAAAAAGGACAATAGATATATATAAACTTCAGCCACAATGAAGCTACATGTAGGA